CGGTTTGCCTCGGTTAAAAAAAAAAAAAAAAGCAAGAAGCCACTCCAGGTGTACACGTTTGTTTCAGCCGCCCAGATGCTTTCTGCTCATTTGTATAGGTGCATTTGCCTGTTCAGATTGAGCGTGAGAGAAAAGAGATTGAGAGACGGTGAAGTTGACGAAGTTTGAACGGCAAAACTCAGAGATGCAGTTTAGAGAAGACTGGGTTAACAAAGCTCCAGTTAACAAAATACAGTATTAAACATCGGACCTTGTTGGTTTGCTTGTTTCTGAAGTGAGTTTCATGGGAAGAAAAAAATGGCCCGTGTATTACCAGGAGTGCTCTATAGGGAGAAAGTTAAGCAAAGTGAGATTTTTACATTGCATACAAGAGAGGATGTGAATGCAATGCTGTTGATCACTCCCCTGTCTAAAGAGAACAAAAGCAATGGTCAGTTCAGTTCTGAAATAATTTGTTGTTCAGTCATGTCCGACTCTTCGTGACCCCATGAACCACATCGCGCCAGGCCTTCCTGTCCTTCAGTGCCTCCCTGAGTTTGCTCAGTTTCATGCTCATTGCTTCAGTGTGAAATAATTTAGGTGCAATAATTAGAATAATTATAATAATAATCAGAGAGCCAGTTTGGTGTAGTGATTAAGGCGCCAAGCTAAAATCTGGGAGACTGTGAGTTCTAGTCCCATCTTAGGCACAAAGCCAGCTGGGTGACCTTGGGCAGTCCCTCTCTCTCTCAGCCTCAGGAAGAAGGTAATGACAAATCACTTCCAAAATCTTTGCAAGAAAACTGCAAGGACTTGTTTAGGCAGTCACGAGGAGTCAAAAACTGACTCGAAGGCACGCCCCCCAGGAGTCAAAAACTGACTCGAAGGCACCCCCTCCCCAAAATGAGAAAGTTCAAACCCATACATTACTGCAGGAATGGAAAGATCAGTGTCGTCTAGTGAAGATAGCTGCCTGACTTGCAGAAGAAAGCAGGTGTGGAAGCATCAAGTAATTAGCTTAATTACTGACCATAACCTGATCTTGGTTTATTCAGGTCAGTTTGGAGTCTGGTCTTTAGGATTAAAATATGCTCTTTTTTGTTTTAACTGTGTGCCAAGTTCTCACAGAGCTATCTGCCAGTTATTGCTGGAGTCCTGAAAGGTGAGACCTTCAGCCTTCTGTGCTGCTCAGCTCATTCATTTCCTCAGTATCTGTGCTTAATCCCTGCTCTGTGCAATGGATTGCTTACAAAGAAAGCTTCCAGAGTTGCATTGTGATGGGCATAATGGCTAGCAGATTCCCACACTGGTTATCACTGGGCTGGGCTTAATGTTTTCAGCCTAGTGCTTTTAATGTGGAGGGGGCTGTTGCGTCCAGCCATTTCTGCCAGATTTTTCTTTAGTCAAGCTGTGGACAACTTGAGGGCTTTGAGAACTGTTCAAACGACGAAGCCTAAAATCAATCTAAAGCTGCAGTATCGACTTCAGGGACAGAAGGATCCTCCATTTGCCAGTTTTGAAGCCAGTGGTTTATATTCATCTAAAAAGGATGGGAAATGAAATGTAAAGCCATTAGGTTCAGAATCTAAAATGATCAAACTGCATTGCCTAGTGGCAAGATCAGAAACTAGAGCCAAATCAGATGTGGGATTTGTGATTTTTTTTTTTTTGTGAGAAACCTGATAAGAAAAATAAGCCAGCCATTATTACCAGAAGTGCTCTAAAGAATTAAGGAAGAGCCTTAATGAGATAACCTAAAAAGAGACCTACAGTATATATTGCATGATATTTATTTACTGATCTATTATGAGAATGTCAAGGGCCTACAAAGACTTTTAATCTGGACCTGGGCAAAGCCCTGGGGAAAAAAAGTGAAATTTATATCCCTTTAGTATTTTCAAAAATTATAGCTGCAAGGGGAAAATGTTAAAATGACTTAAAATTTTCTGTAAACTGAGTTCTAGTTATCAGTCTTTATCCGGTAATAGATCAATGGCTCAATAGAATCAACTCACATAATTTAGGTTTTTGTTAGGCCTGATGAACTCTAGGAGGCCTTGATTCCAATATGCAAACAACAGAGGAATCTCCAAAAATAGAAGGAAAGAGAATGTGTAAATCAGGGATTTTTTTGTAGCTCTCAAACCTTGCCTTGCCTTCTATCTTGCCTTGGAGTCTGCTTCTCTCAGACTTTCATAGGTATTCTGAGCAATGCTACTGTCAGGACCTTGTTTTAGTAAGTCATCTATCATTGGAGAGCTAGTTTGGTCTAGTGGTTAAGGCTCCAGGCTAAAAATCAGGAGACCGTGAGTTCCACTTTAAGCATGAAAGCCAGCTGGGTGGCTTTGGGCCAGTCGCTCTCTTAGCCCATGACATCAGATTCAGGCAACAAGTTGGTTGGTCAATTCCTGTCAACCAATGGATCAACATTCAGTTGATCTGAGGGAAAAAAAAGAAGCAGACCCTGCACCTGCAGGAAAAATGCTAGGAAGAAGATCTGTGAGGAAGAAATTACTATTGAATGAAGTAAATGAATGGGCAATCTTAAATGCTCTGCTAGAATAAGAGAGGAAAAAACGTTTCTCCAAGCCTTTCTTTGCATTCTGAGGAACTATCTATTTTTATCCCAGACAGGAAAGGAAGGAAGAACTACAGTACTGTACTTTCATGAGGCCACTGGGTGAGTTTATCTGTTGGCACAGGGTGAGGTATCATGCTGATGATACCCAACTATACGGCCTTGGCAAAGTAAGTGATGCTCTGGACGCCTTATCCTGGTGTCTGGAGGCTGTGAGGGTCTGGATGGGGAACAACAGGCTTCAACTGAACCCTGGCAAGACTGAGTGGCTTTGGGTTCAGGATCCCGCTGGTTCTGGGAGTATACCATCTTTGGTGGTGGATGGGGTGGCACTGCCCTGGATAGACCCAGTGTGCAATTTGGGGATCCTCCTAGACTTGTGACTCCTGCTCGAAGAGCAGGTGGCAGTCGTGGCTAGGAGGGCCTTCACACATCTCTGCACCCCATGAACCCCTTCCTGGATTGGGAGGCTCTGCTCACAATCACTCATGCCCTAGTCACCTCCAGATTGGACTACTGTAATGCGTTCTACATGGGGCTGTCCTTGAAGAATATCCGGAAGAATGTGGCAAGGTGGGCAGTTATGTGTGCTCCTAGAAAAGCACATATTACACCTCTGCTTTGTTAATTGTATTGGCTGCCAATTTGCTTTTGAGTCCAATTCAAGGAGCTGTTTTTGGTCTTTAAAGCCCTTCATGGCATGGGGCCAGGTTATCTGAGGGACCACCTCTCCCCGATCACATCAGCCCGTCCCATTAGATCTGGCAGGGAAGGCATGCTACGCATTCCATTGGCCAGGGACTTGCATTTGGTGGGTCCCAGGAGGCAGGCCTTCTCTGCCGTGGCTCCCTCCTTGTGGAACATTCTCCCCCCTGAAGTTAGGGTTACCCCTTCTCTGCTGTCATTTAGGAAGTCCCTCAAGACCTGGTTGTGTCATTAGGCCTGGGGGTCTCTGGGAACCAGAGACATTCTTAGATGGCTCCACTGTAATTGACATTCTGCTCTCTCTGTGAAGTTTGTATATTTTAAAACCAATTTAAAAATTTTTTTTGATAATGTTCTTATTTTAATAATAACTTTTTATCTTTTTATAGGCCTGTTTTTATTCACTTGTTATTTTATTTTAAGTGTTGTACGCTGCCCAGAGTTGCTTTGTGTGAGATGGGCGGCTGTGTAAATGCGATGCATAAATAAATAAAAAAACTATAGGCAGATTAGGTACGCAGCCAAGCTGGCATGGAATCATGGAAGGGATGATTCTTCAGTTTCCTCTTAGGTGAAATATTGTAACCACTGTAGGAAAGCTGGAAGAAAGGTGGAAGCATAATCCCAAACATCCTTGGCAGATTGAGTTTCTGATAAGAGAACTGGAGTGGCACCAGAAAAGAATCTGGTAAGCCACGGCTGAAGCCAGAGGAAGCCTGGAGAATTGTGGGCAGTGCCTGACATTTTTTGAGCATGCTGGCTTTTTCCCCCATGTCCATATATGATAAAGCAGCTGTACATTTTGAATAAATACAATAATAACGGATTAGCAACTATTAGTGAGGATTGGGGAATTTTTCTCTTGTTCCTATCCCCTTAATGGCAGGTTGGCACATGAAGACACTAACCAAATTCAGTCTTCTCCCCATCTCTTTTATTTTGTTGCTTAGTGAAGCTTCACCTGTAAATACCTTAGGGT